GGTGAGTGTGAGGCAGTGTAGCGTGTGGAGTGTGGATGCAGGTGGGCGGGTCTAGCAGCGGCAAGCGTGAGGCGGGGAGGAGGTGCGGCATGTGGAGCGTGGATGCAGGTGGGTGGGTCTGAAAGCGGCAAGCGTGAGGCGGGGAGGAGGTGCGGCATGCGGCGTATGTGGAGACGCGAACAGGGCCAACTAATCGAAAGCCTACTGTATAATCGATGATTGAAAACTTGGAGAACTTTTTCAATCATCGATTATAATCGACTTGGTCGATTAGTTGTTGCAGCTCTACATCCCGATTTTTGGGGACAGACCCCAGATTGAGGAGATCATCCCTTTCGAATCCTGATTGGAACACTATGTGCAAGGAGTTTGCATGTTCTCCTTGTGCTTGCATGGGTTTCTTCCAGGAGCTCTGGTTTCTTGCCACACTCCATATACATGCTGGAAGTGTGGCCCCTGTCTAAAATTGGCACTGCCTGTGTGTGTGATAGGGACCGAACTGGGGGCTCCCAGTTCAAATCCCGATCAGGACACTATCTGCAAGGGGTTTGCATGTTCTCCCTGTGTTTGCATGGGTTTCTTCTAGGATCTCTGGTTTCTTGCCACACTCCCTTTAAGAAAATTCTCACTGCCACATCCAGATAGGAATGTAAAAGGAGTGTAAATTACAGCAGCTTCCTTAGAAGGGCAAAAGCTCTTAAAGTGACACTAAACTCAGGAGTTAAATCTTAAAAATACATTCAAGTACCTGAACCTTTAACAGCAATGAAGGGAATTTATCAAAACTGGAGCAGATGTGCACAACAACCAATCAGCGTCTGTTTCATTTTCAAATCTTAACTGAACAAACTGAAAAGAGAAGCTGATTGGCTGCCATGTACAGCTGCTGCAGTTTTTGTCTGCTCCAGTTTTGATAAATTCCCCCCTATGAATCTTATTTGGGTATCACTCGGCTGTAGATCCTCCAATCGTCTCTGAATTGGTGCCGACACTGTCCTTCCTTCTGGAGGGAGGGGGGCTAATTTTGTTCCCCATGGTCCCTGGTGTGTTGTAAAGTAGCCAAACATATACAGTATATACACTGAGTGGCCAGATTACTATGACCACCTGTAGGCATATTAGCTATAATTAGCTATAATTTGGCGCTGAAGTTGCTAGAGGGCCAGACCATTATAAATAGGGGAGCAGGTTGGTTACCACGACAGTAGAAGTGATTTGTTTCTGAAGATACGGGGAAACAACACGATTTAACAGCCTTTGAACGTGGGATGATTGTTGGCGCTCTGAGCCATGGAGCGAGTATCAGCAAAACAGCAGAATTCGTTAAATTTTCAAGAGCAGCTGTTGTTAAAGTGTTTAAAGACCGGACTGTCAGCTGAAAATCTGGGTCTGAACGTGCAAATTGTGGCCGTCAGCGACTAGTCAATGTTAGGGCAGAACGGGGGAGGGGCAAGACTGGTACAAGACAACAGAAGGGCAACAGTGCAGTGTCAGATTCCTCGCATCACCTTTCAACATCTCGTGGAGTCACGAGGCGACCCAACTAAGTCATTTCGTATCTATGAAAGGGGTAAGGGAGGGTGGGATGACTTGGACGTCCCGACGGGTGAGTGGGGGGAACGGACGAGCTTAAAAGTGCGGGGCCCCTCCCACAAATCCGGCAAGTAACTTGCCTAAAACATATATAAAAAAGAAAGAAAATACTTCATTTTTTATGTGTGAAAGAGTGTATTAAAAGAGCATTGGTGCATGTAATGCAACCTGGTCTCCCAATGGCAAGTCAACAGTGTACAGAGAGTCGGCGAGCTTCTCAGAGCAAGCTCATTATCCCAGTGATTTACAAAAGACTCTTCATCTTCCTTTATATTACTAAACATTAATTTATTTCCAAGAAATTAAAAAGCTATTTACATCATACTTATTTACATTATGCCTTGAGTACCGTTGCTATAAACATGCAAAGGGTGACAGTGGTTGAACAAACCAGATTTTTCATAAGACACAGTAGGAGCATTGAATCTATTAAACCAAAAAAAAAAAAAAACACAATTATAAATTTGTATTCAGTCATCCATCTCGTAAAGCAGGGACTTTATAAAAAAAAATAACATCAACATTTCAGATGGTGTATGTGATTCAGAATGTACACTGCGGTCAGAATAACAATATTGTAAGGATTATAATTTTATATTTGTGTACACAGATTTAGAAAAAAAAAATTGACATTTCAAAAGCACTGACCATGAAAGTACCATCGAAAAAAATCCTTCTCAGCTTCCTAATTAATCAAGAAACCTGCAATGCATTTGTTTTGTTTTGTTAAAAAATAATGAATTCCAAAAAGAACAGTCACTCTGAAACAAGAATCATTTGTTACAGCATATTTCCAAATCTAAAAGGGATTCCATTTCTTTCTTCCTTCTCAATGTCAAATGCCCAGTAAATTAATTTAAATGTAAAAAAAAATATGACAATATGGTTTTCTACAGGAAAAAATCAAATAAGAATTTTCACATTTGTATCCAATCAGAGCACAACTTCAGCTACCGATGACCAATGTCGGAGTTACTAATCAAAGGTGCAACACGTTACTAATTTCTGCATGCATGAAACAATAAAAAAAAGAAAACTCTTCCCTGATTTGTTTAATAAAATGACCAAAAATAAATATTGTACATTGTTTTCCGGTCGTTAAACCATCCCCATGACATTGAAGGACCTTTAACTGGTTGAGCTCCATTCCACCGGCATAGAAAACTGGTAGATTATTCCACAGTATTTTTTTTTTGTCACATGTTATCCCTTTCATACTTGGCATGGACAATGAAAGGTGACATCCTCCCCGAACGCAAAATAACACCTTGTCAACGCATCAACCTTCGGATACCAAAGGAGAGATTTATGTTTTCTTGAAATAGATGCAAGTTGTCAGAACAAAGTGGTAAAATGTGATTTTCTTTTTCCATTGAAACACTGGTCCAACCTCTGCAAAATAAAATATGGGGAGTCTGTATATTAAGTCCATAGGGTCCATAGGTTGAAGATGATAGCTCATGTTGCCAAGTAGCCTTCATTTTGTGGCTTGGATGGAGAACGTGATTCTCCGGCTTGGTTGAAGAATGTGATGAGGAACAAAATTGTGAAAAAAACCCTGCCATTAAATTAAATTCCGCGCAAAAGTTCCTGGTCTGTTTTTGGAAAATTGGTGATAAACAACGCTGGTCACGCAGAGGAACACCTGGCTTTCCAAAAGGCCTTCTACCTCAGGCAAAACACATCATTTTACAAAGTAGAAAAAAGAAAAAAAACAAAAGCAAGTGTTAACATTATTTTTCAGGGGTTTTTTTTCCTTTTTTTTTTAAACGAATGCATCTCATTCTCGTACTTCCTATTTACAAATGTGGCACAGAAGGGCTATATATATAAATTATATATATATATATATATATATATATATAAAATTAAAAATATATAAATAATACATATATTGTGGCAGTGCGTGGCAATGACATGGTGTCATTTGGCATTATAGTCACCCAGGACTCTCAGCCACGGGGGCTGAGCAGTTCCAGAAAGCACTAACGTTTACTGGGAAAGAGCTGGCTTTGCAGTTCTTCCCAGGTTTTCCGGATTTGGCTTGGGTTCCTGGAACTGGGAGATTTCAAAGAGCATTGGGAGGGATGAAATCTCCATTCCTGGGTTCGAGCTTTAGTGGTGACCAGCACCGAATGATGGTGCACCTGTGCACAGCCCTTATGAAAAGGATGCTGGTTCAGGTTCAGGGTTCCAGCTGGAAGACAAGGGAGGTGTCTGTCCAGGAGTCAGGAGGACTCCATCCTGGAACCAGCCTGCGTGGCAAGTCTGCTGGATACAGCCTGCTTGGGAGAGGTTTATTGTAATAACCTGAAGTCGGTGAGACTTTGAAAAACGTTATTTTGCTTAAAAGACAAAGCTAAAGTTATGTTCTTATGTTGGAGAAACCCCTGTGATTGAAAACTTGTGTGAACTATTAAATAAAAGTGGGCAGGAAGCCCTAAAAAGAATATGTTTGTGAGTGGACTCCGTCCTTAATGCGCTACCATTTGAAGCTAAATCTCACCTATATATATATACATATAGTGGGGCTCTGACTACAAGTATGAGGCCAACTTGTTGGTCGTATTTGTGGGAGGAGCCCCACACATTTAAACCTCCCCGTTTCCCCTACTCACCTGTCGGTACGTTCGTGACACCCCACCCGCCCTTACCCCTTCTGGTAACATTTTACTCTTTGAGTATGCCCCCTTACTTGCATACTGACCATAGCGACCATGGCACACCTCAGGTCAAGTTAGACTGGTTCATCATCTCTGCGTTCAGGTGCGTCCCAGTGGGGCTCTGACTACAAATATATATACATTAAAAAAACTATCTGAAAGCCAGTTAATGGGTTGAAGAATATTTTTGCCTCTAAGAATGTTTACTTTCTTCCTCTTAAATTGCAATAAAACATACAAATAAAAGAGCTTTCAGATATATATTTGCCACGGGTCATTTTCTAAATGTAATCTTTGGAGAGTATATTATTAAGGCTTACTGTGAAAATAATGTTAGCATACGTGGAGCGCTAAGAACACAACCTAATCTTGTGTAATTTGTTCCTAGTACATTTTGTCGCTCTGGTCACGGCGTCTGATCTTAAATGTTTTACGCTATACCTTCACATCAAATCAGAACGGCAGGTTATGTATTTTAAACTGTAATTGTCTTAAAGTGACGCTAAACTCCGGAGCTAAACCTCAAAAATACCTTCAGGTTCCTTAACTCTGAACAACAATGTATCCTATTTGTGTATCACTCGGCTGTAGATCCTCCAATTATGTCTGAATTAATGCTGACACTGTCCTTCCTTCTGGAGGGGGGCTATTATTCCCCATGGTCCCTGTGTGTGTTGTAAAGTAGTCACCGCTCCAAGCTCGCTCCAGCGATGCACTACAATCTCAGTACAACTCAGTAAACTAAACATGAGATTGTTCAGAAATAAAAATTTGTATGGATCCGAAATCCAAAAAATGGTTACATGTCTACTATCTATCTATCTATCGATCTATCTCTGTGTCTATCTATCTATTGATCGATCAATCTACTATCTCTCTCTCTCGATCTCTCTGTCTATCTATCACCATCTCCCTCTCTCTACTATCTCTCTCGATCGAGCATTCTAGCTATCTATCTCTCCCTCTCTCCTATCTATCTATCTATCTATCTATCTATCTATCTATCTATCGATCAATCTACTATATCTCTCTCTACTATCTATCTATCTATCTATCTATCTATCTATCTATCTATCTATCTATCTATCTATCTATCTATCAATTGATCTATCAATCTACTATCTCTCTCTCGATCAATCTACTATATCTCTCTCTACTATCTATCTATCTATCTATCTATCTATCTATCTATCTATCTATCTATCTATCTATCTATCTATCTATCTATCTATCTCCTATCTATCATAACACTTGATCTAATAAAAACATATCCTTTTTTTTTTCGCAGCAGATTACGCTCAGTTATTTTGAAGATCTTCACAGAAACATCCATTTCTACCCTCTGATTTATTATCACATCAATGTTCTTAAAGCCATGATGTGCACAGCCGCCCCCAATGTCTAAGACGCACAATCATTGTGCAAATGCAACCGGTAATCAAATGTGCCATTGCTTTGAACCTGAGCGCCGCACGAGTTCAGGAAAATACATTAATGCAATGACAAAGTAACATTGTGTACATCAGTTCTGGGGTCAGAGAGGAGCAGCGCTCCCACGGAGGGGGAGTGTGGAGCCTCTCGGTGCTTTTGCAGCACGGCCAACTGATGTGGAACCCATTCATTATAACACTGCCATGGACGTTTTGCGACTTGGCGTCATAGCTGATTAATTGGCTGGCTACACATTGCCAAGCAATTATTTTCCATCAGCGTATCAAGCCGGGGTTCAAAAAAGAAACGGTGTACCAAAAATTACCAATGACTCGTGTGTCCAGTTCCTTGTCGGCCAGCTCCTCCTCTGTGAAGTTGCTGAGCGAGATTTTGGGCACGTTGTCATTCTGGCTGACGGAACCAATCATTTCCTGTTCTTTATCGTGCTGAACCTGGGCGTAAATGTTGATCCACGGGATTTTCCTGCGGCCAAAAAGAGGGTTGTGTTACTGTAAGGGCCCATCCACACCAACGTAGGACCTAAATCCAAAGTCAACGGAGGTCCGTGTGCTTGCAACTTGAACCTCCATAGACTTCTGGACCAGTGTGAACTGCTCCCATTCACACCCATTCATTTTCTGGGTTACCTTCCGTTGCCATGTGCTGTAAAATGTATCGGAACGGATCTGGTGTGAACGGTTTGGGTCAATTTTACCTTTTTTAAGTGTTTTGCAAGCCAAAAACATTTACTCTAGCTTTGGGTAGAGTGAGGAATGATTAGAACCCCTGTTGGGTTTTCACTGCTAGCCGGGGCTTCATTTAAGAGATTTCCCCTTCCTGTCCTGCTGGCAGTGGTCTCATCAGACAGGAAGTGAGGACAAATCTCCAACAAGGATTGTTCTAGCTTTCCCATACTCTACTGAGCATTTTATTTCTGTCTGTGTTGCTGTTGGAAATTTCCCATCACTTCCTGTCTGGCAAGAAGTGTAAGGAAGACAGGAAGTGCGAAGTAGACTTGTGCGATTCATTTCGTTCCAAATAAAAATTCTTACGAATTCTCCGAAATTCAGACATTCGGACACATCCGAATTTCCGAATCCCAATGTATCCGAATGCGCCCGCATCTGAATTTCTGTTTACGAATCTTGGATCCTTCCCAAATTTCGTTCAAAAACTACATTGAATTGGACATGTGACTTTTCATCCAAATGGGTCTAAACACAAATTTTCATTATGGCAACATGGGAGCCATATACAGTATATACATATAATACTAAAACGGAGGCTCCCAGACCCGAATGGCATTCAAGATCTGAATTTTCGAATTGCATTGGGGAGCTCCTGAATGCCATTTGGGTCTAGGAGCCTCAGGTTCAGTTTTATGTATATATGGGTCACAATGTTACCGCTACAAATATTATTTTATAGAATACCACTTATATATACATAATACTAAAACTGATGCTCCATGACCTGAATGGAGTCCGAATTTCCAAACAGCATTTGAGAGCTCCCGAATGCAATTCGGGTCTGGAAGCTTCAGCTTTAATATTATGCATATATATGCATATGGCTCCCAGACCCATATTGCTTTCTGGAGCTTCCGAATAGTATTTGCAAATTTGGACCCCGAATTCCATTTGGGTCTAGGAGCTTCAGCTTTAGTATTAATATCTGTAAATGGTTTTTCTGTGGAATTCGCAATTAATATTCGTAAACTCATCCGAAAGTAACAAAAATTTGGATTTTGTCTGAATCTGAAACCCGAACCGAATTGAATTTCGGATCCGAATCCCGAAATAACAAAATCCGAACCGAACCAAATGTTTCCGGAGCTTACATGTCTAGTGCGGAGAAATCTCTCTAATTAAGCCCCCGATAGTCGTAACAATAAGAGAGTTCTGCCCCTTCGCACTCAATTTTTAATTGAAAAAAAGATTTTGGCTGGCCATACATTTAAGGCCCCCATTCACGCCAGATCTGTTTTTCAATGGATGCTAACACAAGGGCACCGAAAAATGAATGGGCCGGAAATGGGACCAGTTCATACCTTTGCGATCTGTTCTGTTTCGCTTTTTTCAGTGCAACATAACGGAACAAAAACGGATATAATCTCAATTCAACGGAACGAGAGTAAAAAAGCGCAAAACATATAGGTGTATTTATTTATTTTCATTTATTTATAAACATATGTAATTAAAATAAAGATTGGCAAAAAAAAAAAAAATGGAACAGAAGTCAACGGAGGTTGAAATTTCAAGTCAACGGATCCTCCTTTGACTTGCGATTTCCTTCCGAATGGGCCTCTAAATGAAACTTTGTAGTGTCTTTGACCTAAACAAGACAGGAAGTAAGGGGGGAGTCATTCAAGTGATTCATTCGGTTTTGTGCACAAGGTGGAACTTGAGCTACTGAGCTTTGTAAACAACAGGCTTTTAAGCATAGGCAAATTACCACTTTAAACTGATAAAACAGCTCCACTGGCTGGCTTGAATTATAAATATAGATAGTCAGAAGAAATATTTCCTCAGACTAATAACATTTGAAACGGTTATATTTTTGGGTCCTGAACATAAAAATTAATTAATTTGTTGAGTGTGAGGAAAGATGATAGGACAAGGGCGACTACAGTAAAAATTAAATTTGATATTTATGACCAAAGCTCTGCGCTCGAATTTCCAGGAGATAACAACTAACATACTCATATAGATCTCCCCGACCAGCTCTTAGCAACCTGGGACGCTCTGCCAGGCATCCTGCCGAGCTACTAGCAACCAGTGACGTCATTGGTTTCCAGGAGCTTGGCGGGACGCCTACCAAAGCGTCACCGGTTGCTAAGAGTTGGGTGAATAAATGCAGAGCCCTTACACATATCCACACCCGGCTCTTAGTGGTGTCACACTCCAACAGCACCCCCCCTTTTTTTTTATGAGTTCATTGGGGATCAGTACATTCCGTCTTACCTCTTGAACTTGTAGATTAAAAAAACAGCTAAGCCCACAAACACGACCGAAAGGAGCATCAGCATCGCTGAACTGCTGTGACTGGCACTGTTATCCACTAGAGGTGCTAGGGGGAAAAAAAAGAAAAATATCACAAAATACTTCTCAATTTTTTTTTCACATAATCAAATCTCTGGGCACCAAAGGTATTCCTGAGACTGCAAATACATTAGGTTGCTATAAAATAATTTTCGCATAGAAAGGAGACTTGGTGATTCCTTGAGCAACAGACAGGCCAACATTTGGGGACATTTTGGGAAATATTCCAATGTTGAAATAAGGGGTTGATTTACTAAATGAGTATAGATTGTATCTAGGCTGTAGGATATCTCTAGGAATCCTCTGTTTACTTTTAAAGCTTTATTGTTCCATGAGGGTCAACATTCCACCAGGCACAGGCCCCAATGTAGGGCTTAATTGGGCAGCACATCCTGGTCAGGACACCATCTGCATGTTCTTCCTGTGCTGGGTTTCTCTGGGTACTCCAGTTTCCTCCCACACTCCGAAGACATGCAGGAAAATTAATTGACTCTTGTCTACATTGGCCTTTGTATGTGTGTGCAACAGGGACCTTAGATTGTAAGGTCCTTGAGGGCAGGGACTGATGTGAACATGCATTAGGTAAAGCTCCGTGTAAATTGTGGTGCTATATAAAGACATGTAATGTATAATTGCTGTCTGTTGCTGTCTGTAAAAAAAAAAAAGAAAGATAATTAGGCTAACGAGGAGACATTATTCAGCACAGACACAGATCTAGGATGGGTGAAAGGAACTGAAGTGATGTTCAGAGGCCATTTAAGGTCCACATTGTCCCGTTAAAAACCCAATAAAAACCATCTAAATTGTACCTTCTCCATTGAGCACTAAAATGTCCATCCTTTTGGGGTAACCAAAACCCCATTGTTTTGGGGTAACCAAATTCTCAATTTTGCTCATCTCCAATTACCAGTCTCATTTAGGCCGCTTAGTTTGCATCTGATTGGCTGATGTGGGACAATTTTAGTGCTTTTTTTTTTTTACAATAGGTACAAGGCAGTAAGGAGCATGTTCCATCATCACCAGATGTGTTCCATCATCACCAACAGATGTGTTCCATCATCACCAAATTACAGACAGAAGGTAAAAGGTTGGGTTGTTACAGTACAAAAATTCCTAAATTAAAAAAAACGAAAAACTAGTTGGCAGGTTGGTTGTACTCTCTACCCTGTTTCCCCTAAAATAAAACCTACCCCGAAAATAAGACCTAGTACTATTTTGGGAATTGCTAAAATATAAGACCTACATCGAAAATAAGACCTAGTTGTGAACATTCCCAGGGCCGGTGGTGGGATAAGGGGGAACTTGAAGAGCCACGGGAGAGAATCAGCGGTGCCAACGAAGCCAGCGCTAGAGGAAGCGAGGTGGCAGCGGAGGGAGCAGAGCCGCATAAGGCGATGCTTCTTCTATAGTGCTGGCTCCTGTCACAGGCGGAGTGATACCAAATGCACTCCGCCGGTGAGGAATCAATAGTGAAAGTGCGTTTCGCTCATTCTGGCCAGCGATTGGAAAGGTACGGCACCCCTGATTGCCCTGATCACCCTATGCTTAACTTTGCCATTTTGGATTATTTAATTTGGATTTGCGTTAACTTTGGATTGTTGTACATTAAAAAATAATAAGACCTACCCCGAAAAAAAGCCAAAAAAAAATAAGACAGTGTCTTATTTTCGGGGAAACACGTTTGATTTCTAGTTTCTACTGCAATGTACTTTTAAATCCTTTAATGTATTTAATGTATTTAGGCCACCTGGAGGATGGGTACTTAAATAAAATAAAATACAGGGGGTTCTTCACAGACTTCAGGGGTTATTCATTATTGAGCCGAAGGATTAAGCCGAAGCATTTAGCCAAACCGAAGTGCTGCTATCCGGGCTATACACAATAGCCCGTACTGTAGGCCAAGGCAGGCAAACGGCTCAGCGGAGCCGGCCTGAACGCATATGCTTCGGCTCAGCTGAGCCGAAGTCACAGCCAAACCGGGGAGAATGGTCTGCTGAAGCAAACCATTCTCCCCACAAATGTAAAACACCTGGTCGGAGGTAGCGCGCAGAATAACCGAGCCGAATGCCGCTCGGCGGCACTTGGCTGTTCACTCGCTCCTGTTCTGCCCTGGGAATAGGGCAAACGGCAGCGAGTGAACTGCCAAAGGTTCAGCTCAGCCGATCCAGTTGTTGGATCTGCTGAGTCGAACGTGTTCTTCACTTCAGCTCAGCCGAACATGCTGAGCATGTTCGGCTTACCTGAAGCCAGCCGATGTACGGCTGATTTTAGCCAATGTACAGGGCCGAAGTGAATAGCTGAATGGCATTCGGCTCACTTCACTTCAGCGTGGTTATTCACTCGGCTGAGTGAATAATCCCCGTTAGAGTCAGTAAAGTGTAAGGATTGCTACAATATAATATATCATGAAAATAAAAGACAGCCTGGCTAATACAGAACAGTTGGCCGGTCTAAGATCTGGGTCAATCTTGATCTGTCCAATTCAGTTCGCTGAGCTGAACAGTAAGCATTTTTTGCCCCGTGCTTGAAATGCAAAAAAGCTTACGCCAGCCACATTTTTTTTTTAGCACCGCACTGCTGAGATTAAAACACTAAACTCATGTTTAGTTAAATCACTTACTCGTTCTCAGAAAAATAGAAAGAACAGAAAACAAGAAAAAGATTTATACTGAGAAGCTCAAATAAATATATTGGAATTTGATATGTATGCAAAATTCAGAAGGAAAGAAAAATTAAATATATGCAGAAGGTAGGAAAAAATGTCCTTTTTATGCTGAAAGGAATAATAAAATTAGCATGCCAGCGTGATAGAGAATCTACTTATTGTTTAGCAAAAAAAAACTTTACTTCTAAGGCAAGTAAATATTTTATCAGACGGAGCTGCCCTGAAGCTGAGAGACAGTCCGCGTGTCAGTTTATTCCTGTACATCACAAAACTTGATTTATCGAGGTGACAGAATAAGACGCAATATACAAAAATAACTATTTTTTTTTTCAGGTTCTCTTCAAAACATTCCCAGAAATGAGAGTCATTTGTAAGCACACTGATAGGGTGAGAGTATTTAACAGGGATGCTATTTTCTGATTAAAAAGGATCGCTCATATCAATCTTCCTCTTTGAAAAAATAAGAAAATAGGTAAAAATATAAAAATAAGAAAGCAAAATGGAAAAAAAAATAGAGCAAAATTTAAAAAAACCCTTTCCTTACATCCTGGCTTCTGACAGGCTTTGCTCAGGTGTGGGTGTCATCACTGGACCTCACCAAGGAATTGTGGGAATGATGATGATCCAGTTGCGTATCAAGGGCATGGTACATATGGCACATGCCCTGGGCACTACTTGAAAGGGGCGCTGCTTGGTGGGTTAGCAAACGGTTGCCGATCGATGGAGCCAGCCGAGTTAAGGGGTATGGTTTGCTTCAGTCAAACTTTCTTGAAAATAGGAAATCAGATAACTGAATGGAACCTGATGAAAATATTATGCCACACAAGTCCACAATTTCTCTTTTCTTTTTAAATCTTTTATGTAATCCAATGATAACTATGATAAGACATTCCAAAAAGTCAAGCAAATTTGAGATGGGGATTAGTAGAATATTATCTCCCAGCAGCAAAATAACTGTATGAAGCTGTCTCTCGCCAAGTTCATCAACAGTGAGGGAATGGATATCAATGGTTGATTTCAAATTTTTTACATAGGGGATCCATGAGAAAATGTCATCATATCTGCTAGGAGTGGCTTTAGACACCATGACTTGTACCAAATAATGTATTTTTGTAATAAGGGTGCATTCAGAAACTATAGCATGTGACAGGGGTAGATGTTAACACAGATTATTTTATTATCCTTTGGTGAGGTTGAGTGTCATGGGCTAGCAAGGTTGTTGGCCCACTGTGCAGTCTGCACCCTTGGTGGAAGTGTGAACCTTAAAACGGGCCAAGGCGTTGAGTCTTAGAAACCACCTAATATTGACTAACACATCCTGCAAGGGATGATGGGCTTTGCTGCAGGCCGGCATCCAGGCTGCGGCCCTTGCACACCGGAGACAGCAATTGACCAAGGAAAGGACCAGAGGACCAAAAGATAGTACAGAATCCATGTACGATCTCCTAAATGGAGTGTAGGGCATGCTGGAGGAACAGGATTCACTAGCTAGGAGGCAGAGAAGCAGCTAGTGTCTTCAAAGGGGCAGGGCTCACAGTCTCTGGGGGTACAGGGGTCACTAGGAAATACAATATACACCGGGACTAGGAATTTTCAGGAACATTGGAACTACAGGAACTGTGCATGTGATTGTCTGAACACTGCTCATATAGTGATGTTGACAGGCTGGGCGAGGACCTGCCAGACTAGTGCAAGAGCAAGGGAGGCAAAGACTATATACTGTTTTCGTTTTTTGACGTCTTGTCCACTGGACTAATACGGCTTACCCATATATATATAGATATATATATATTGATATACTGTATATCTATCAATCTATCTATCTATCTATCTATCTATCTATCTATCTATCTATCTATCTATCTATCTATCTATCTATCTATCTATCTATCTATCTATCTATCTATCTATCTATCTATCTATCTATCTATCTATCTATCTATCTATCTATCTATCTATCTATCTATCTATCTATCTATCTATCTATATATATATATATGTATGCAAATATGCTTTTTTTCCATCAATGCATGCTCAGTACTTACCTAGAGTAAGCTGTGTCACATATACAAAGATTTGCACTCCTGGCTTCAGCTCAAACATTACAAGGTTCTGATTCAGGGCACTAAGAAGAGACTCGACGATCTAAAAATGAAGATGTGATATAAAAGGAGGTCAGTATAGCAACATATGAAAAGCATTACTGAAGAAATGTAGTTCAGTCTTCTAAAGCCCATCTAAAACCAATACCCATCTAAATTCAATGCATTGACCCCTCGAGGCTTTGTGGGTGGCAGTCCTGCTTTCCAGCTCTTGTCCTGGGTCCATCTCTCACCGGGGACATTATCTTCATGGACTTTGCATGTTTTCAGTGTGATTGTGCTGGTATCACCCATGTGTTGCTATTTCCTTCCACAATCCAAAGACTTTCTGGCAGGTAAATGGGCACCAAATGTTATAGGGGACATAAGAATGAGCTCATTCATGGGACAGGGACTGGTGTGAAAGGTTCTATGTAATACGTTGATGTTCTTTAGACACAGGAAAAAAAATAGAGTTTCCTACCTATCTGCCTATTTACTGGCTCTGCTGCCATGTAATCCCTGCTGGATTCTCCATAGGCATAAATGGGGGACTGAGTTAAAGCTGCCTGACCCAAAGCTGAAATAGAAGATTATAGCTGCAGTAGGGAAGACCATGTTCAAGATAATAGTATATATTAAAAAAAACACAAACTGATAGGGTGTTTAATTCTTACTTACGCTATCCAAAACTAAAAATAAAAGTTTTGGCGATTCATGCACTTTAACAGGAAACAATAATAATTTGAGATCAATATTATATGTATATAATCGTAACTTTCTTTGTATGTCTGTCTGTCTCTCTTCTCTCTCCATATACTGTATATATGATAAAGGGCTGTCAGAGCACTCTGGTATCTCAAAAGAGATAACACAACTGCGGTTTCCTGTTTCTTTGGTTGAGTTCTATAAACAGCAGGATTTTTACAACATGCGGTAAAGTGGCAGGAAAAAAACAAACATGTGAAATGTAGCAGAGAGCTCCCCCTGCTGGCAGGATACAAGTCAACGTACAGCCTATTACGGGCCATAATACAATGTCTCACCTGCTCTAAGTCCGCTTTGCTACCTTTCCTCCGTTCGCTGACATTTTTTGGTGGCAATATAAATAGTTCCGCTGATGTTGGGAGACCAGAAAACATGGCTACTAGGATATGCTCCTCGGGGATATGGGTCACCTGCAATATAAAAGACACTTTGAGTTACAGGGACACTGAGATGATGAAAAATGAGGTCCAGGTCTGGGCCACTGAGTGTGTTTTTAGGATATATGCAGAATGAGTTTTAGAGCAATCAGTGGCAATCACTAGTTGGATTTTAATAGAAGGTAAACCAGCAAAGCAGTAAAACCTGTTTAATAAAATCTGACATAGATAAGAAACAGGAAGAAATAGGTTTTGGCACGGGAGATTGGGAAAGGTAGCTCAGGTGGTTAAAGCAGAACTATGGGGTTAGGGCTTTTCCCCATAGTCCTCCTAAGGCTCACTGGTGGGTGGGTTACGGGTCCTCACATCGCCCAAAGCTCAGTATATAGGGAGCTACAGCTCGTGGTATACTGAGACGCCGCTGCCGGAACAGATCCCGACATCGCTGTCGAGATCCACCCAGCTGCGGGATTGACAGCTGGCTCTGCCTATCTAGAGGCAGATCCAGCTGTGCTCGCCCCTCCCCTGTCCGTTACGCCAGTCGATGCTGAAGGATCGGAGAGGGGGAAACCCTGCAGGGACCCGTGAGTGACAGTCGATATATGTTCGCTCACTTCCCGATCTACTGAGCCGACCTGTGACAGTTTCATTGTCACAGGTCGGCTCAGGTTATGAGGCTGAGTGAAAATCACTCGCCTCATAATTCTCCTTTAAGGTTAGGGGTTAGGTCAAGGTTCGGGGTTAGGTTAAGGTTAGAGGTTAGGTCAAGGTTAGGTTAAGGTTAGGTCAAGGTTCGGGGTTAGGTTAAGGTTAGGGGTTAAGTTAAATTTAGGTCAACAATATGGGTTAGGTCAAGATTAGGGGTTAGATCAAGATTAGGGGTTAGATCAAGATTAGGGGTTAGATCAAGGCTAGGGGTTGGTTAGGTCAAGCTTAGGGGTTAAGTCAAGCTTAGGGGTTAGGTTAAGCTTAAGTTAAGGTTAGGGTTATGAAGTGTAATAAAAAGTAAATTTTTTCATGTACATGTTGGAAAATATATCTGAGATGCTTCGTTTTTGCATCTACTCACAAGAAAGGATCATAGGGCGAATGGCTCTGAAAGTTTGTGATAAATAGACTCCATTGTGTTATTTATTTCACTTGGCGGAGCATAAAAATACATGCAAATATTTGTAAACATCTATTATGTGACAAAATAAATGGAACACTTATGCGAGCACAATAGAAAAGGGGACAAAGGATTCAGAAAACTCCTTTCTCCAGACCGCGGCCGGCTGCCATAGTAAATTTCAAAGAACTTTGACACGACGGCTTTAGGAAAACATAAAGACTGTACAATAGAAAGTATTGTTCAATGGCAAGTGACAAGATGTATACATTCGTAGAAATGAGCATTCGGACGAACCTGCAAATCAACGAAAATCAGAGTCGGCGGTTCGTCCAAATCCGAAACAACGAATTGAATATATGCCCGAATATACTAAAACGATATTCGTTTCCAGAACACACGGGCGGCCATATTGGCCGCCTTTGTGTTCTGCGCATGCCCGCTACCATCTTAGAGACGGAGCGTGTGACGTCACATGACGGTATGTAGAGCCAAAGGAAATCTCCACGCTTTCTCACATGTCGGTGGCGTCACACGCCGAAAAAGTGGTGGGCGTATCGCCCACCAGCACGTTCTGCGCATGCCCGCCGCCCTCTTGGAGGAGGAGCGTGTGACGTCACATGACGGTGGCGTCACACGCTGAAAGAGCGGTGGCCATTTTGGAGTGTATCTTGGTATAGACCAAGATGAGGGTGCTCGGACATGTGGGCGCCGCCATCTTGGTGTATAACAAAATAGCGGCGCGCGCGCATAGAACGAGCCGGCGTCCGATGTGGCCGCCGCTCGCTCTGCAGTTTGGGATTTGGAAGGCTCATTGCCTCCGCAACCCGAAAACAACATAAAAATGAGTTTCCTTTCACGAAACGAATGAAAAAAACGTTTTTCCTTTTCATTTGTTTTGTCTGAAAGCGAATTCTTCTGTTGTGCGCATGTCTAATACATTGTATCACTTCTTGAACTTGAAGTGTAACATTGTATACAATGACATGAAAATATTTATATACATCTTTTATCTAAAGAAATAATGCTTATGTAAGTGCCTTAGACAAGGGGGGAGGGGGAATGTAGGACCCTCGCTTATTTTCAGAGATAACGTATCTTCATGGAGAGATCTGCAGCCAAAGCACGAATTCCTTTAATCACGTATTTTGTAAGCATCATAAATAATATATTCCTCATTATATTTCCATCGAATCAGCTCGCCGGGACCTCTGACATGGAAAACACAAACCGAGCCGCTAAAAAAAATCCTGTTTCTTCATCTTTTCGGGGGTTTGTTATTGCCGCCGTGTCCTCGTCGTCTACTGTCATTTTCATACAAGCTCAAATAAATTCTGCTGCAAATCTCTGTAATGATCTTCTGACTCCCCAAACTTCGCCTTCAGAGTAGCAGCAGAGGGCGGTCACAGAGAACCAGCAACATAAAGGCACTTTGTGAAAAGAATTACCATTATTTTGTGGGTTATTACATACCCTGTTTCCCCGAAAATAAGACCTACCCCGAAAATAAGACCTAGTACTCTTTTTAGGATTCTTCCCTATGACTTTCTCATCTCATTCTCAATACCTCACTCTTAACTCTGAGTATGGACATGCTATGGGCTTGGCGCTCACAGATCTATATATGATACTCAGGGAAAACGATGCCAGTTGGCGTGGACGAGGCGTGAGATTGCCAGTGTCTCCTACTGACCCCGTGTTAGCCGAATAATCCTTGTGTATTTTCCGAAAATGCCTTAAGTATGATCTGTACGCTTCTTGTCTGTATTTTCTGTACTAGTTGTCTTTCTACCACTTGGGAAAAAACTCATAAATAAAGAATTTATAAAAAAAAAAAATAAGACCTACCCCGAAAATAAGACCTTGTGTGGTTTTTTTTTGAGCCAAAAAATATATAAGACAGTGTCTTATTTTCGGGGAAACACGGTAGTATTGGAGGTTGAATAAAGACACAGGTCCATCAAGTTCAACCTTTGTGTGTCTGTTTGTGTATGTACACAGTCCCTATGTGATTTTGTTTTTAAGAGTACCCCTGTATGTTATGGTCTCTGAGGACGGTATCTAAATGCTTTTTGAACGATTCAACACTCTCTGCTGAAACCAGTGCTTGTGGCAGCGAGTTCCAAAATGTAACCGCTCTGACTGAAAAGAATCCCCAACGCCCCTTGTGGTTAAATCTTTTCTACACCAATTTTAGGAGGTGGCCTCTAGTCTTTGTTATGGAGTTTAGAGTACACGGTTTATTGCTGATGTTGCCATCACCACCCAACATTTTGTACAATAAAATCATATCCCGCCCCTTAATTGCCTGACTTCCAAGTCTGGCACAAGTTTAAATTTAGCAACCTTGTCTCATAGCTTTGGTCCTCCAGCCCCTTAAAGGAGAACTATGAGGTGAGTGCTTTTCACTCACCTCATAGTTCTAGCCGACGTGTGACAATGAGACTGTCACAGGTCGGCTCAGTAGATCGGGAAGTGAGCGAACACATACCGGCGTTCGCTCACCTCTTGATCCTGTCACGGCAGAGGAGGGGCTGTATTCCCCCCTCCCCGCCTCGATTGAACGGATGGGGGAGGGGGCAGGTACAGCTGGCTCTGCCTCTAGATAGGCAGAGCCAGCTGTCAGTCACGCAGCTGGGCGGATCCCGGCATAATTGTCGGGATCCGCTCCGGCTGCGGCGTCACAGTATACCGCGAGGTGTAGCTCCCTATATACTGAGCCTAGGGTGACGGGAGGACGCTAGTTTGCGCCCTCCCGTTACCCTAAGGACAACTATGGGAAAAGCCTTAACCCCATAGTTCTCCTTTAATTAGTTTGGTTGCCCTTCTCTGGACTCTCTCCAGCTCCAGGATATCCTGTCTGTGGATTGGTGACCAAAACTGGACCGCATATAAAGTGATTTATTCTCGGAAATATCACCATCCTTGTCTGTAGATTCATTATTATTTCACTTCCTGTAGTAAAAAAATAAACTCAACTCCAGCAACATAATTTTTTTGAAACCAGTGACACCAATTGTCACTGGTGTGTTGAATCAACGTCTTGGCCAGAGATCATTTCTCGGCACTCCAGCTGTGGTGAAACTAAAAAAACCATCATGCTTCTGCCTCTGGGAGTCATGCCTCTGGCTGTCAGAGTCTTGAAATACATCATGGGACTTGTAGTTCCACAACATCTAGAGTCTTAAGGTGCCTACTGTGCTTTACTCTGATCCATACGTTCTCCCCGCCCTTACCCAGCATTCAAACCGAGAGAAGAGGAGGATAGAACTTTCTCTTCCCGACCTGCTCCCACATTGCTCTGCCTCCTCCAGTGCTCTGCCTCTCAGCTTGAGAAGGTATGTAAGGGGGGTGCTGATGTAAGGGGGGCCTCTGGGGATGCTGATGCAAGTGGGGGGTTCTGGGGACTCTGATGCAAAGTGGGGGCTCTCGGGACCCTGATGTAAGGGGTAGCAATGGGGATGCTGAGCTAAGAGGGAACTATGGGGACGCTGATTGAAGGGGGAACTCTGGGGAGTCTGATGCAAAGGAGGGCCCTGGGGAAGGAGTGGATGTGGGGAAGCCGATGTAAGGGGGAACTCTGGGGACTCTGATGCAAGGATGAGGGCTCTGTTCTGGGGATGCTGATGTAAAGGGGGCTTTGGGGACACTAATGTTACTTTGATGTAAGGGGGGCTCTGGGGATGCTGATGTAAGGGGGGCTCTGGGGATGCTGATGTAAGGGGGGATGGGGGGGCTGTGGGGACTCTGATGGGAGGGGGGTGCTCTGGGGACTCTGGGCACCTGTACCCAGGGTCACCCTGGCTGACACACTGCTGGAGATGATCAGAGACTGCATAAATACCACAGGAGATAGTGAGAGATCACAGGAATGCTGTAGGAGATGGTCAGAGCCTGCAGACATACTACAGGAGATGGTCAGAGACTGCAGACATACTACAGGAGATGGTCAGAGACTGCAGACATACTACAGGAGATGGTCAGAGACTGCAGAGATACTACAGGAGATGATCTGAGACCAAAGGCATGTTCCATGATCATTACAGTTACTTCAAAATTCAGCACTCTCTACAGGCACCTCAAAGAAATCACTGGCACTGCGTTTGATTCTCCTCTCATAAAGATCTATTATAACAGTCAAAGAAAAAAAATATACACAAATAAAATATTACAAAAAGAGAAAAGTGCTACAGTACTTTCCTCTACTCTCCCTGAGTAGGCACCTAGGCAAGGACACACTAGCTACTGGCTAAGGGCCGCACTTAAGTACCAAAGGGCCACGGGTTGGCCACACAGGGTGTAGTGGACGATTGTAAATAAATATAAATAAGGACTACAGTTGATCACATGACACAAGCTTTAAAAATAATTTAAAAAAAAGTTCAAAGAATTTTATATTTACTTAAAATAAAAGAACATATTTGAAAATCACAGTCCTTCAGCCACTTAAAATAGCGCCGTCTCGGTGGAATGGGAGCTGGCTTCAAACTAGAGGTTCCATAATACTTTCCAGTGAGCGGACACTAATTAATTGGTCATTACATAGGGATGTCTTATTAGATTAGGTTTGACATCCATATTATAACTGAACGAGTCAATCACAGTTAATCATGTTGCAGCCGGGACTCAAATGAATTAGTAATGATTAGCCATTTTCTGCACTGACTCAGCACGAGGAACTGGCAGTGGTTAGAGGACGGGCGCTCGGAGCTTGGCTGCGTTCACCTCACCTCGCTCTGCAAGAATAAAAGGTATTAAAACTACTTGTGATCACAAGTATGGCAGCTCAGCTGGCTTCCACAGGGCCCGGAAAACAGAGATACAAAGTGTCTCCAACAACCTCTTGTAACTTTTTTTTTCTCTAAACAGATGAATATACAATTCATGTAAAAAATTAGACAAATCGTAATCACATACTTGAGCTAGTTGATGTGATTTTTAAGGTAATATCAGAACAATGGTCATGTGACCTCTGCCTGATGGGAAGGTGAAGGTTAGGCAATGCTGCTCTCCTGAATGTAAACTGTATCTGTACCCAAAACTTTTTTTTAGGTTTGGATATAATGGGAAAGGATTAAAACTCATGTCAGGTTTTACTGCCATCTGAGGCTTTCCCCCCTTGGCCATCCCTTTAATGAGGCAGCCTCAGCCGGCATCTCTTGGGTCACTTGGAGGGGGGCCGCAGGCAGAGCAGCAGTGTGCCTGCATTTAGCAATTGTTTACAATATTTCTATTGTGATGGAGTGTGTTTAGAAAGGACTCAGATGTATATAATACGAAAAACATTTATTTAAATTCTTGTTGGTTTAAAAGATTCATGATAGGCTTCCTCAGGGGGATATATTCACTCTGTATGTTTGTATATATATATATATACCGACTTTCAGCAATAATCTGTTTTTTCAAAAGAAAAATATCATATAATACCAAATAGATTAATATTGAACCACAAGATAGAATCAACTTCCAGTAAACATACACTGTATGTTGATTCTATCTTGTGGTTCACTATTAATCTATATGGTATTATATGATATTTTTCTTTTGAAAAAACAGATTATTGCTGAAAGTCGGAATACTGGAATACTGGCAAACTGGAATACTCTGGCCAGCGTCCTGCCCAGTTCCTGCCAATAAGTGACATCACTGGTTGTTAGAACCCACAGCACCCCGAGCGTCACAAGTTGCTAAGAGATGCAGGGAGATGCAGAGCCATACACATCTCCCCACCCGGGTCTTAACAACCTGGGATGCTCGGCCACCGTCCAGCCCCGGTCCTGGCAACCTGTGAAGTCACTGGTTGCCAGTAACTGAGGAGGACGCCAGCCAGAGCCCTTGCTCTGGTTGCCTGGAGCTGGGCAGGGCAATGGTCGCCAGGACAAAAAGAAAGGGTAAACACTTCTTCCCCTCCGCCGGAGCAAGAAGCGATTCTCATTGGTCAACGTGGTCACCTGAGTTCAAAATCCATAGCATAGGGCTGTGCTATGTGACAGTATGGGATATGGAGAGTAGACCCGTACCGGCGGAGGGTAAGGAACCCTCGCCGAAAGGTAAGTATACCAGGGGGAAGAAGGGGCCAGATTGGAAGGGGTAATTCCATTTTCTCAAAATGACTTGGGAAAGTGGACTTAACCTTTAATTGTTGTTATTATTGACAATAATGAGTAATGAGTTAGGAAAGATGGATTTAATAATGTCTTAAATTGAATAACACAATCCTGCCTTGGATGACACAACAGGGTCTTGAGATAGACCTCTAGTTTTATCATGTGCTGTACAACAAGCCGGAACACTATTTCTTTCCCGCTGCAGTGCAGCGTCTTTTCATTAACCTCAATGGCCCGCAGCGCGCAGCATATCCCAGGCAGACCTCAGCTGCCACCATTAATACGTACCTGTATCAGAGCTCCCTTAATGAGTCTGCTTATGTCTTGTCTCCATTCGGGGATGTCGGGGTTGTGGTAGTCCAGGTTCGGAGAAAATGACAGCAGCTGCGACTGGAAATACTCTGAAACACAATCATTAAAAGGCATTATAAGACGCTTTATGTCAATTCCCTGTGTGGCTGTTGTGTCTTTCGCTAAAGGCTTGCGGTGAGGGTGGGGAAAGTGAGATTTTCTTTGAAAGTTTTAAAGCTGAACTACGGTAAAGGAAAGTGATATGTAACGTCTGAATTACATGCATGTGAAGCGTTCCACCTGCAAAACGTCTGGAAAGAATATCGACAGGCCTTTTGAACATTTTAATTTACATAATTTCATTGTATATTATTTCATATATACACTGAGCGGCCAGATTATTACGACCACCTGACGTTTATAGGCAAATTAGCTATAATTTGGCGCTGAAGTTGCTAGAGGGCCAGACCATTATAAATAGGGAAGCAGGTTGGTTACCATGACAGTAGAAGTTATTTGTTTCTGAAGATACGGGGAAACAATGCGATTTAACAGCCTTTGAACGTGGGATGATTGTTGGCGCTCAGAGCCATGGAGCGAGTATCAGCAAAACAGCAGAATTTGTTAAATGTTGAAGAGCAGCTGTTGTTAAAGTGTTTAAAGACCGGACTGTCAGCCGAAAATCTGGGTCTGAACGTGCGATCTTTTTAAATGATATAAAAATTATGTAAAATTAACATATAATAATCACCATGGGTCTCACTACTTACAACATCTTTTTTTCTGCTCTCACATGATAGTTTTTTCCTCACACAACGATTGAGGTTTTTGACAATGTAACAAATAATTTTTTTTTATCTGTGTATCCTAAAACTTAAATAGTGACTACTGTTATTTTTTTTATTTATTCATTTTTTTATTAAATATTTTTATTTTTTATTTTACTTTGAGGGGTTTTCGGGGAAATATTGGGGGTTCTAAACAGATCCCTGATATTTCCCTTTTAAAATAGAAAAAGAGATTGAGGACACAGAGCCCTCCATCTCTTTTTCTGTATCCCCTGTTATCAATGAACAGAAATCCTCTATGAGTCTTCCTGTTCATTGATAACATGAGGAAAGAGTATGATTACTATAACCACAATCATGAATGAACAGGAAGTGAAGTATCAGGAGGAGATGTAGATCACTTCCCATTCATTCATAATTGAGGATATAGTAACCATACCATGTCCTCAATTATCTACAAACACTCAGCGATCACCAACTGCTTGTACCCCCTCTCCATCCTGACACGTTGTCACCGGAGGCTGAGCGAGCGGTGCGGGAGGAGAGTTCAGCCTCCTGTGACAGCGCGGGCTGTCTCCACCCACACACCGTTCTGCCGGACTGTGCCCGGAGGCTGAACGGTGTGGCCGCCTGTGACGCTTTCGCTCCACCCCCCTGGGACACAGAGCAGCGCGGATGCAGAGCCCAAAGTGCCATTTTCGGTCGATATGTTTCGGCGGCCGATATATCGGTGCATCCCTAATTATTATTAGTATTATTATACTTGTACTTCGCTGCGCGATGGGTATTGACCCTGGCCTGCCTGACCTCGTCCTGCTCCAGTTCCTGGTGGTCTTCCCAGCTGCATCTACACCTGCTTCCTTGGAGACCAGCTTTGGACTCACCCAGGCACTGTGCCCTGCACCCTCTGGCACCGGTGCTGCTCTCTGTCCTCTCACTCCCTGTCACCACTCTCAGGGGTGCGGGACAAGAGTTGCAAAGGAGGCCTCCTCACTACTCGGTTCTCTACCAGGTACGTAATACCTCACCTCTAATTTTTTGTTTTCCTTTGGTGGAATAACATTCTGCTCTAAGTTTTATTGTTGTCTGTGACTTGACTGGGCAAATTCACCATCTCCCTTTGTCCTGGTGACAATTGTCAATGGGACAGAAAGGGATAAAACACCTAAAATTCTACATTTGGCGCCAGAACAGGAGGCAAGGCATGGGGAAAACCTCTTGCGGGTACATTGTATAAAAGAGGACTTCCCCATAGGAAAGATTTCATAACTGAAATTAAATCTCATACCTCAGTTCATAGAGATTTCCTATCACTTCCTGCTATGTATCTGGGACAGGAAGTGAAGGGGAATCTTCCTAACTGGATACAGACAGCGAAAGCAAAAAATCTCACCCTTCTCTACTTTGTCAAAAACTAAAGAAAAAAATGGCTAATGGGACAATGTAGAGCAGCAACAAACTGTTGTTTTTGTTTTTGCCTCCTTTTAGCAAGCTCCCATTGTTAGACCTAGCTGCCCAATGCAGTACAATAGAGTTCGGCTGAATTCCTGCGCTGGCTTCTCCTTATCCCATTTTGAAGGCAGCTGTGTAGTAGGAGCTAATGTGAAGACAGATTCAAGTTATTCTATTAACTGTGTTTAAATTCATTAATATAATACATTGTGAAGTATTTAAAAAATAAATAAAAAATTCTTTCAATTTTTTTTTTTTTTTTTATATATATATATCTATATATCTATAGATATATATATATATTTTATACATCTCTGTGGTGCATGCGCATTTTAAAGGGATGTTTTGTCCCTTAAAAAACTATTCAATTGCAGAAAAATGCCTAGTGATCTGGCAGCAATCCAGTCAACTCCTAATTTTGTTTACTGAGCTGACAACGCTGCCTCTGCTGTACTGAATTCCAAAGCAGCATGGTCACTCCACCCAGTTCTTCCCTGCTATACTACAAGACACCCAGGGCCGGATTTACTCTCTCTGCCACCCCAAGGCCAGGTTCCTCAATGCGCCCCCACTACCCGCCAATCCCCCCATGGACAATGGCATACCTGCAGGCTGCATACAAGTGATCTCGGCGGCTTCCCCGCTGTACATTTATCTCTGCTTGCCCAAAGCAGGACTAAATGTAGGAAACAACTACCCACCCGGCTCCCAGAACTGCATGTCCCGGGCATCAGGAGATAGGAATTCCACACCCCTGCTGCCCCTCTACTCCCTGTTGCCCCAAGACCGGGCCTTGGTTGGCCTTGTGGGAAATCCGGCCCTGATGAAACCCCTCCCCCCAAATTTCCATAACATAAGGGGGATGTTCTGTAGTCCAGCAGGGGAGAACTGGGCAGAGCTGACAACACCGCTTAGGATTTCAGTGCAGCAGAGGCAGCTTTGTCAGTTCACTACAGGAAGTTGGGAGCACGCTGGATTTCTGGCAGATCATGCATTTTTCTGTACTACAAATCTAAAAAAAAATCTGAGCTGGCTTTAAAATAAATGGCATCGTGAAATAAAATAAAAGAAGGTGAGTGGGAAATAAATGAAATACAAGAGAAGATGAAGATTTACAAAAAATGATTATTTGTAAGAATGCGGATATTTAGGAGTCTCCGCTTCTAATCGGTTGCTTTTGGCCCGCTGAGCGCTCACATCCACTTAATGGCATTTTGAATTAACTTTATCACCAATCGGCTAATGACTTTGCGTGCTTTCACCTGTTGACGCTCCGCACAGAACAGATGGCCGTCTCTCTGTGACGTCGCGGCTCCGGAGTGAAACGGATGATTTAATTGTATTTTCCTGAACTGTTTTACACTTCAGCCTAATATCAGAAGACGGCAAATCCCGAAACTGAGAACATCAGTTCACTGACACGTCTGCATTCCACGCTTTTTTTGGGGAGCTTAGGTTATGGGCACAAGGACTTTTTTTCTTGCTTTTTGGGTTTTCTTGTTTTTGATTTATTTACATTATTTTTTTAAAGAAATAGCTCAACACCTTCCAGCTCTTCAGGGTTTTTTATAACTGATCTCATAAAAAGTCATTATTCACTTTTATTAAAAGTGCTTTTCACTCACCTCATAGTTCTAGCCGACCTGTGACAATGAGACTGTCACAGGTCGGCTCAGTAGATCGGGAGGTGAGCGAACACGTACCGGCGTTCGCTCACCTCTTGATCCTGTCACGACTCTCTGCTGTGACAGGGGAGGGGCTGGATTCCCCCCTCCCCGCTCCGATCTGCCAGCGCTGACTGGCGGAACGGATGGGGGAGGGGGCGGGTACAGTTGGCTCTGCCTCTAGATAGGCAGAGCCAGCTGTCACTCACACAGCTGGGCGGATCTCGACATCGATGTCGGGATCCGCTCCGGCTGCGGCGTCTCAGTATATAGGGAGCTGTAGCTCGCGGTATACTGAGCTTAGGGTAACAGGAGGACGCTAGTTTGTGTCCTCCGGTTACCCTAAGGAGAACTATGGGGGAAAACACCCTGACCCCATAGTTCTCCTTTAATGTATTATTTTATTTTAAATTAATGTAATTTAAATTAAAGAAGAATTCCAAGAGGGAAAAAAACACACCCTTTCACACCCTACAAGGACCCCCCCCTTTCCCCACTGTAAGGGTTACATGCTATTCGACCTGCAAGAGGAGCTGTGGGGGACAGTGGGGGACAGTGCTGGGGTGAAAGTGGGTATTGCAGCAAAGCAATAAGTTCTGGGCTACTGATTTTGTAATTATTTTCTAAAAAAACTATAGTTGGGTTTTACATTTTTTGCTGCCATCTCTGCCCTAATTGATGAGATCTCCTTACTTTTCATTATGTCTCTTTGACAGTGATGGAGGGGAAATCTCCCCCAAAGGCACACGGTTGACATTGAAAACCTGACAGCTTGCGAACCTTTCTGAACTCAACCCAAAACTTGGGGAAAAAAGGCTTGGTGTGAAATCCATTTTAATCCTTCCTTCCTTGTTTGCTGCCAGTGGGAGTTCTACCCCAACCTCGGATCATATTGTGAAAGCCGGAACTTTGATGGCGAGAGGAACTTCCTGGTTTTTCTCTATGGAGTCCATTCTCCAATAATTCCTTTGGAGAACCCACTAGCATGGCAGCATCATGATCTCACACCCCTGTGTTGATTTGTATAGGAACGTATGCTTGATGCATTCTGGAGAGGAGATCCTAGCAGCTTACATCACGCCAGGGTGAGAGCAATCTCAAACATGCCAGGGAAAGGAGGGATTGTGGAACTTGCCCAGCCTGGGTTATGGACAGTGAAAAAAAATGCCAACAGGAGGCCAAACTCTGGTCCTTGCCTCTCAAAAACAACTCTAAAAAATGTCTATTCACTTTCAGACAATAAAGCAAACGTCACTTACCGTGCACCACCACCTCTTTGGTGTCCTGAATCAGGGTGTTCCCAGCAGACACTTGAACAGTTATGGTATTTGTTCCCTCCACGCTGAAGGTCAAGGAGATGCTGCTGTCCAAGGTGATGAGAGGCTGGAGGTACAAAGCAACAGGTTGGATTAGTTTTCATTCAAGTGTACTAATCACAACTGAGGCAATCTTTTTCCTGTCTGAGCCAATCAATTCACATGGAACCCTAGTAAAATATATATATATATATA